GCAGGAGAAGTCGAAATAGCAATGTCGGATATAATTAATCGATCTGGAAGGGAAGAGGACGAGATCCACACTGGCTGAACAGTGTACATTGCACTTCCTGAAGGTCAACTAAATAAATTAATAGGAATATAAACAGACAGAATCAGTGGGTTTTCACTAAATTGGTTTCCTACTTTGTAAATAATCAAGACAGTCACCTGCATTGACCTATAGGGTGCCTGATCGGGTTAAATGAAATCAAATTCTGTTGGAAAATATACTCTGTACGATATTACATAGATAAATATGATGAAGTAAAGAAGACTTGATATTTTACGACTATGTGAACATTGGACTTATATATACATCTTAGGGGAGAAATTCCCACTAGTCTCATGTGCCTGTCAAACCTAATGATGACCAGCCACCTCTCATCTACCATGATGAGCCAAAATACACTGTAGTACGTAAATATCCAAACGTATATGCAATAGTAGGCGCGATTAGCGCACTCGTGACATTTGTAGAGAGAGTCGATCTTGTCGGGAACCTGAGACGAAACAGGTAATGGTTGAGTCCTAAATTCGAGAGTCAGAATTTCCAACAAATTCCAAAGTAAACGGAATATTAAATATTATTAATTCATGTTGAGAAGAGAGTTCGATATTCTACACAACTATCAATAAATTCTTGTCCGAAATTATACACTTGTTCTTCGAGATATTTCCTCCTAGAAATCCTTGACAATTTCTAACACAAACCACCACGCATGACGAGTTTGAGACAAAGTCGAATTTGCTTAGGTGAAGCAGCCGGTTCAGGAAGTCGCAGCCAAAGAGTATCACATATACTAAGTATTGTGTCATAGTTGTGAACCAATTATCTAGTGATACGTAGGCGATAAGTCTCAGTTTACGATCAAGTAGCACTGGCGTAGCCACATGGAGTAAAAGCTAGCGCGAGAGACCTGTATATGATGTAGCGATATCTTCATGTTTAGATATAAGCAACCAACAAAGCAATCAATCAATCGAATATTACTCGGATCAATATTCATACCATTCTATTATCATCAATTTCAAGATAATATTCCAATATGCGGACATAAATGAGGAGAATGGTGGAAATAAGGCTTCCTTATGGGATTCCATTATCAATCTCGTTACAGGGCTCTTGTTGGCCATCAGAAGGTAGCCCACACGTTCGTTCTTGGAGAAATATTGCTGTCCAGGCTAAGACTGATTGGAAGTTTCAATCCTTGAAGTGCACCAAGTAGTTTCTTATGCGATCATAGACTCGTCAGGAATATATTCGTATAAATAGCAAAAGAGCAATACTTTCAGCTTTCGATGAGGCGCCGTGTTCCATAATTGCCTCTGATTAAGCTTCGCTACTTGAGAAATATAGCGATTTACTTTTCATGGGATCCAGTCTCCACGATTTTATGATGCAATACGTAGTAAATGATGCAAGAACATGCCAAAATACTTCGAGACATAAATCTGGAATTCGACAATTACAGCCACTTTATCTTCAAAATGTAATTTGAGGTGCATATAAAATCTCAAGCTATTGGCTGTGTTGAGTGTGTGTGTGTGTGTGTTTTATTGTACTACTTGAGTCTATGACTATCTAGCACATTGGGCTCCTCTCTGACCCAGGCCACACCTTGTACAGTGCTCCTATCCTCTTTTGTTACTTGAAAGATCATTGATATATTTCCCTTGATGAATAGCCATTCAGCTCAGTATTTACCCGTGGAATTCTGCCACCTTTTCCACGGAACCTTCTACCCAAAAAAAAAAAAAAAAATGGTAGCAATGGAAACTGCGTGCGCGGGAAAAAGTCTCAAAAAACCTGCAGCCCCAGCCAGGCGAGGCCTAGACACCAGGACCACATGAGGTGCGCATATTCATCTATATCTCCCTTCTTTGTAACAGTCGAGGCCGACTTGATCCAATCCACCATCTCCGTATCGGGTGCTGGGTACGCTCCGGAAACTCATCGGATGGCTTTTCCTCCATGATCAAGGGTTGGTGACGAGTAGGGCTCCGACCCTACCATCTGATCTGATCGTGGTTAGCTTCATGATAATGGTGATAGGGGAATGTGTTGAGAGATGAAGACGATACAGACCGCGAAAGCGATTGGGAATCCTCTTCGAAGTGAGGACTTTGTTACTCAATCTCGGCTCTGCAGACTCTACAGTGAGAGCTGGAGGTTCGTAGGGGACACCACTGACAGGTGTTGAGAATAGTCCCCCTGGCTGTGTTGAAATTGCAGGATAAATACATAAAACAAATACTGATTAATGCCTATGGCTTATTTTAGAATAGGAGGTAATTTTATGAAACAAAAAGCAAATAAACAATAGATTGAATTGAATTGAATTAGTCTCGTTTAACGTCCTATGCGGTATCTATATACAGAACCATGAAGACGGTAAGCCATGTTAAGAAGGGAAAAAGCTTTCAACAAACAATACCCGATGTCCTGCCAATCTGAACCGACCCGGCTTAATGCTGAGGACGTTCCTTTCAACCACAAATTTATAAACTTTCCCCCGAATTCGTTAACTCCCCCTTTGATCAGACTAACGTTATGAGAAATTGAAAATAAAAGGCACCTCCTCACTCGGCGTTGGTCTTCGAAGTGTTCGAAGAGTTGGCCCAGATGGTGGTGGTGTTGCTGTCGAGGCGATGGTTGGTGCCGCTGGGGCTTCAACTACCTTACGTGGTCGTCCCGGCCCTCTTTTGGGTCCTTCAGTCTTTTTACTGGTGACCAAAGTAAATCCCTGATCATCAGTCGTTCTGACTGTTCGCATTGGCGCCATGGCAGGTTTTTCATTCCATATTTCCGCCGTTCTTGACAACAGCTCCATCCGAGCCTTCTCCACACTTTCCTTGTAGACCTGGTAGGTCCGACACGCTACTTTCTGCCACGAACGATGCTCCTTGCCGCAGTTCGCACAAGAAACCCATTTCCTCGGACAGTCCCGATTTTGGTGAGCGCCAGGGCACTCACCGCACCTGGCTGCCTTTCCACACGACGCCTGCGTATGACCCCACTGATTGCAGTTGTAACACTGCTTTGGCTGGGACCGTGGTGACCACACCTGCGCGGTGAAGAGTATGGCGTTCATAACTAGGCCGTTTCGGACCACTTCCGTCTGCATTGCCTCCGATGGGAGGCTTACCACGATTGATCTACGAGTGTGGCCATTCTTCTTTGACCGCTGGTGTTTCTTTCCGTCATGTAACCACCTTATACGACTTATGACTAAGCCTGGAATCCGTGCCTTCGTAGCCGTCTCTATCTCCCTGATGATAACAAAATTGTTGGCATCTCTGCCCCCTTCAATTCGTGTCCGCAATGGGATACCGTTGACCTCGACTGGAAAATCTTGCCGCAGAATCTGGAAATCCGTTGGTTGTCGCATATTTAGCGCCGCGTCTCTCTGGGACGCCGACTGGACGAATACCTCGGTATCGTTGCTCTGCATTTGACGAATTGCGTATGCGCCTTATATGTGCTCTTTTGCCTTTGAAATCAGCTCTTGTGGCTGCAAGTTTTGAGCGCCGTCGATTCTTATTCTTACCGCTGTTTTCGCCATTTGCGGAGCTACGACCGACGCGTAACTCCCAGCTATCGGCGCGCCCGAAACCACTGCTGGAGCAGCTTTTCGAGCGGGATCCGCGAGACTTTTCTTTACGACTTCCTCTAAAGCTATCATCCTCTTCTCGATAGGAGACTTCTTCTGGGACATTTCCGTCCAGGCCCTTTTGTGCGCGTTGAAGGCCTTGACGGCCTCGTTCACGTCCTCCATTGAGAGTAGGTCCTCCTCATCCATCTCTCCCATCACGATTAGTCTAACCTGTTTTAGTAGTTTCCCCAGTATTTCGAGGTTTCTATCCTTTGGAGCTGTCTACGCTCCGCTGCCGTTGTTTTATGATGCCGTTGTCGCATTTTGCGACGCGTCGAAACCGCTGGATTTGTCCACACCAGCACCCACACTCGCCATGTTGGAGCACGGAAAGCGAAAATATGGTAGGAGGGTAATGAAGATGTAAAAATAATGATCACGATGTCAAGTTGATGATATGGGCTTCCTGGAACGATGCGCAGCTTTCAGGCAAAAATGGTGTTTTTTTAAATAATAGATTGATTTACTCTATATGTCGCAACACTATTTTGTGATGTACATGAGTCTGTAAACAGAGATACCCGTATGTTGATCGTTAGTTAGTCACGTGGATTGGTGCAACTTGGCGTGTCGCCGTTAAGGCTGACACGCCTGTATCTGAGTAGAACAAGAATCACCACATCAGAGAGAAACCCATTGCGTACGCGTACACGTGTATATAACCAACCGACACTATATATAATTAAAACACAGCACCAGTCCAAAGTTATTTAGTGTAGCTTTCGGCAGTATATTCGTGTGAAAAAACTAATTCTATCTAAAACTCTTCCAGAAGAGGTGATTAACGTATACATCTTATGTTATACCTCATTGATTGATAGAAGTAGAGTTGTACTCTTTACAAAATTTATGTCAAACTGCCACCGCCAAATTAATTCAAGAGAAGTTCAAAGTATTTTCCACGTCATGCATCTCAAATTTTTATGAGCGCCCAAAAATTCGTGCTATAAATCAAATGCTTCTATTGTGGGCTCTAATTTTTAAAGACTTAAGTACATTAATTTGGGGCAATCTCTTAGCTGAAGAATCAAAATAATAAGTAGTTATTATATGATTTCACATGAAACTTGATCTATTAAATCTGAATTAGGCATTTTCCGGTGTTCTAAGTGGTTACATATTCGAGAATTCGATTCCTGTTGATGTTACTTTTATTCATCTATGATATGATTGTTTTCTGCCTATATGAAAAGTAAATGACCAATCAAGTTAAGCCAGTTATTGATAGAGCAAAATTTACATATGATGCCCCGAATAGTTGAGTGAGTGACCAGCTTCTTTATGTTAAGTGAGTATCGGTCCTTTTCATAAATAATCGTTATCTTCCGAGTGCCGCATTAAGACATTCCAGGGTCTAAATTTATTAGCGGAATGGACAAAATTTTATGAAACAATTCGATAACTAACTTGTTCAGCAACAACACCTTGATTGAAAAGGTGTTTACTGATTCCCTTGACAAGTTCTATTTGTTCCTCCAGGGTTAACCCGGTAATGGCAGTCTCTATTACACCTCCAAGAGATACTTTGTAGATTGCAATGAAGCTATGGTAGTACATGTATGCAAAAAAGCCCATTATAAATTGACAATCCATGCGATCAGTAATTCCTCCATGTCCAGGAATAGAATCTCCGAAATCCTTGATCTTGAATGTCCGCTTTAATCCGGAAGCAAAAAAACCACCAAATGGTGCAATAAGAGAGGCAAAGGTTCCGAAGACGAGTATGTGAAACTGCATAGGGGCCATCTGGAATGACTTTGTATACGGAAACCATGTGGGAAGATGATATGTACGTGGTAAGAAGACAGGATTAACGGCACACTGTAGGCCGGTCCAAATGTTTGCGCCGAGGTCCTGTGCCTATTAGCGCTTACTTCATGTCCAAACTTTTAGAATTATTCGCACATTTACTGGACAGACAAAATACCTGTATCTCATAAGTATGTTGGTCATTCCTACCCCAAAGATGATAGTCAAGATCCATGCCCCGACAAAGCCCTCTACTGTTTTCTTTGGCGACAACTTAATGAGCTGTGTTCGGCCGAAAGTTATGCCGCAAATATATGCGAACGTATCATTCCAAATGACAAGCGAGACAGGTAAAAAGAACCATATCATACCCTCGAGCACATTGTTCATGATAAAATGGGCTTGGACGACGATAAGGTACAGAGCCATGTGTGTCCATGCAAATTGAGTAAATTGGAATCGATAATTTCCAACTTGTAACGAAGCAACGAAAAAGACGAAACCTGAAGATTTTTAGCAAGAGTAGATTGCAGTATTCCTAGACTCATACCAATAACATAAAGCATAAAGCTTATGAATCTATGATGAGTTGCAAATGGTAACAAAACTTTATCCACTAGCACAATGTGCTTGAAATAATAAATAACGCTTTCACCATACAAGAAGTACATTGTAGTGGCAAGCCAGTACCAATTAAGGGCTTTTGTGAATCGAAGTCTTCTTGCTCGACTTGGGACATTGGCTATGGCGATTACCTCTTTGAATGACACAATCTGTACTGCAGTAACGATTGCAATTATATATATGTGTCCCATAAACATAGCACCACAGAACAAGCCGACCATAACAAATGTCCAGATCGAACGTGTGATGAAAGTTGCCTTTTTCTTCTCATAATCAGATTTCGGTGTTATCTGCGCCTAAGTATCTGTTAGTATGTCAGATTGCGCTTCTATTTACCATACTCTTACATCGGCGCGGTTTTCATGTTTTTTTTTTTCTTCTTCTTCATTCACGATGTTTTCTGAAGCTACCTCGCTGATATCCGAAAAGCTACTCCTCCGGCCTTCTACGCCCCAATTCTGGCTGTTGCGGCGGTTAAATTTGATTCCTTTACGGGATTTAGCCATGTTTATCAGAAGCAGATTCTGACGTGTTAGATGTTGGCTTCTGAATTTGCCTTAGTTTTTATCGACAATTGATCACTGGCTCTAGGATCGATTGCCAGGGTTGGTAACCACTCAGCTTTTACCTCTTCTCAATTTTGTTCATTAGGCTGGTACCTTAAATAGAAGTGAAATTTGAGTGGTGCGCGCAACGAGTTGTCTTGATAGCAAATTGTGGGCAGGTAAATGCGGACGTGGCTTGCCGCGAGGAAGCTGAGTCTGCGCGGTTAAGTTTGGTGACGCAGAGATCCAGCGACCTTGCCAAAATTATTCACAATGTGATTCAACTATATCTGGTGAAAGTACATCAGCATTTAACATTCTTTGAGATCCAAGTAGCATTAGTAGTTTTGTTATGTTATGTGAGTAAGATACACATCTAACCCTTGGTTGAGGTTACTTTAAATTTCCTCCTCGAACTCTGTCTGTGTGGAGTAACGATCAAGGCTGTAAATTTTACAAGGTTGCGTCTTGTTTACTAGTGAACGACATGCGGATACTAATCTAACAGAAACGACAAATGGCAGAAAATAGTGACCTAGACAGTAATTATGGCGATGATGAACTTGATAATCTACCACCAGATACCTTGATTGAACTTGAGAAGAATGCCATAACTCAATTTACGCAAGCCCAGGCTCAAATCCCATCAAGAGCTGCTCTTCGTAGCGGCAGCTTTGCAAAGGACACTGATTTTGAAGATGAGATTGTGATTGATGAGACTAGCAATACCCTCGGTGGACTTCCTTTCCTCAAGAAAAAAGTAGCGAATACCAGAGTTTCGCCCAAACAAATCATATCTCGACAAGGTTTACCTGGACTTATCAACCCACAAGATGAGCTCGAGAAAAGATCAGAATTGGAAAATAAATCAGTGAACAGGCAAGATGCCTATTTATCAGACAGCGTTGACGCCAAAATTCTTGCACTAATGAAACAGGTTGAAAAGGTAGGCCACTTATCAGAATTTAATATTTCTTCCAACCTCAGCAGTTAACAAATGAACGAAATGAACTTCGAAAAGATATTGATATTAAGTCTGGAGAGATAGCAATTGTAAGGAGCAAATATGAAAAGACCGCATTAGAATTTGAGCGAGAGTTGCTTGCAGCCCGAAAACTCAACGATGAAAAATTAGAGCAACAACAGAGAATATTAGAGGCAGCACGAATTTCAGAACAAAATGCCATCACAGAAAGGGATTTTATAAAAAGAGATTTAGTTGAGGAATCGAATCGAGTTCGCCAACTGAGTCGTATAAAAGAGACTGAAAATAAACAAGTGATATCTATCACAGCATCTAATGAGAAATTTCGGACCCATGGGGATGGGTTCGATGGTGATCAACCTCAATCTACATCCCAATCTAAACTTTCACCATTTGAACTAGCGTCGCGAATTACAAATTCTCCAAATAGATCGATTAAACGAAAAAGAAAAACAGTTCAAATTCAAACAGAAAATTTAAGTATTATGGGCCATTGCGAACCTATCAACACTTCTTTTTCAGAAAATAGGCATATCGCACATGAAACTGATGAGCGCCAACTGAGATCTTTAAAAGGAGATGAATGGTTCGACGTAAGTAAATTCGTTGATGATTCAAAATAATTTAATAATGCTCGAAGTTTATGGGTAGTATGCTTGACCATCGCGTTGATGAAAAACATCTTAGGACTATACAAGAACTTGGAAAGTATTCCCTTCCTTCAACTCCAAAACAAACATTCCAGACTTCACTCCTTGCCAAGATACCCGAATTAAGAGTTACAGAATGCATGAAAGATTTCCCAACTTATTTTTGCGAAACTCTTATCTCTATGTGGATAAAATGTATTGACGAAGAATACGTAAGATCAGCGTCCGAATCTAAAATAAGCACATTAGTAATCAGAAAAAAAGCTCAAGCCGATTTATTTATTTGTTGACATGTTGACTGTGGCCTTAGAGATGAAGACGTCATCACTAGCTCCTCACATCATAAACTCACTTGTCCCAATTGCTCAACGCACATCTGATTTTATAGCTATCCCACGATTCCAAAGTCAACCAACCGATAAATACGATCAGTATATTGATCTATCCGCATGCATGTCACTACTTTATATTGCGTCTCTTGGGTGCATATCGAAATTAGAAGACATAACTCGATTTTGGAAGCTAATGCGTTGGGATTTTGTCCTCTTGATGCTAAGCACTAACCAATCCCTGACAGATTACGATTTAATTTTGCGCTTAATATCCACCAGCATTATGACCGATAGCTTAGGTGCGATTCCAGGAGGTGAAAAGCAACAATTACAGGCGGGCTGGATAATTGATAGACTTACATATCCCCTGAGCGAACATCCATGCATGCCAATGAGTACTAAGAGGTTTGACACAGCAAAAATTAATCAAGTTCGTATCAAAATTCTTCGAATTATGATAAGCATGGTGTCACGGTCACTGTACGCCAGTAAAACGCTGGCTACTCACCCTCATGCAATTGGAAGAGTGATTTGTTTAATTAGTGATGAAATAGATGAATTGTATGACTATCAATCGAGGAGCCGAGAAAGGTTTGCATGAACCCCCATCTCTGAATATTTTACTAAAAACATATAAGTACGCAAATCATTAACATGGCAACAAGGCTGCTATATTACCTTGTTACAAGACACCAAAGTTTAATTGATATGCAACAGATATTAGCAAATATACATGGTGGATATCATAAATACCTTCTTTCTTTATCAAGGTTGAACTTTTCTGAGGAGGATTTAGTTTTAGAGTCTGGTATTGATACTGACATAGCTAGCTATGCTTTGGAGTTGTTAGAGCTAGTTGTCACGCCAGCGGAAGGTGATGCCATTCAATCCGCTTTTACAAGCTGAGACTGCGCAGTAGGAAGTAAACAAATGCATCCATGTGTGTGAAGGAGGATTGCGAAAATATGGTCCTTGAATTCTGTGTTCCTAGAAGCTAAGGCATAAATTTTTGCAATCCAATTTCGAACTCTACTGGATAAGAATAGTAGAAGAAATATGGTGCTAAAGACACTTGTCCCGCAACAAGTTACGTTGTCGAATTGGGATCGAATTTCGACTCGTTTCAGTACCTGTTTATCAGATCCATGAATAATATCAGCGAGCCTGCGATAGACTTGACTTCACCAATGCTCCTAAGATATTATTGGAATTACTGCACAGTGTCTCATCCTTGGCTTAAAGTCAATTTAAATGATAACAAGAATCACGATCAAATTTTCCTACTGTCAAACGACCCAATGACTTGATGATTTTTGATTCATTTGAATTTGAATTTGAAATCTTTAACGTGACAGGACGAACCCAACATCTATTTAGACGTGACACGGGTAGATGGGCCCTACGAGCTCATTGCTACCTACATGACCGGCATTAAAGCCAGAAGCGACAAAAGAAAAATAAAATCACAGCAAATGTCTGAGTTACGGTGCCCTGCACCGTATCCCTATCTTCCAAACACCTCTCCTCTCGAGCCAGAAACTATCTCAGCATGGTCACTCCCACCCTGTCAGTTCTTCGGCAGACTGTAGCATCTGCTTATGGTTAGGAATTGGAAAAACTTCTGCCATCCCTTCTCCCCTATCATTTCCCTGACCCCAGGTGGAGTCATTTTCTCACAGCTTCTCCAACGTTGCAGAGCAGGTCGGCACTCTGAAAAATGCCAGGGCCTTTTCTCTCGGCCACAAATGCACATCAGATCTTCATGTTCGGGGTTGAAACGCCGGTGGTAGTCGGCGTAGTCCCCGTGGCCTGTTCTTGCCGCAATAAGACGGTGATACGCCCATCGAGGCAGAGCCAGTTCCGGCGGTCGCTTGCAGCGCATGTAGAGGTCGAGATCTTTGTATCGTTTAGGCCGATACTTCTGCCACCACTCTTCCACAAGCTTTTGGCTCCGCATTTTCACTAGTCTCCCTAGAGCCGCAAAGGTCAGAATTTGCTCGTCTCCGTTGGGCGAAGCTGAGGTTAGTGATTGGTCATTGAGATCTCCCAGGGCTGATTTGGCCAGCTTATCGGCTTCTTCGTTGCCTTGGATCCCCACATGACCAGGTATCCAGTGTATTTCTACACGCCTATTATGTCTCAGCGATGAGAACTTGTCCACCACTGTCTGCGAGGAATTGGATCTTCCTTGTTCGAGCGCTCTGACGGCCGCTTGATTGTCCAGAAGAATGCTGACCGGAAAGCCTTCTCCCACCGCTAGTGCAGCCTCCAAGGCTTTCATAGCGCCAACAACTTCTGCGTCGAATACCTCTGCTCCGGGAAGCGGACCCGAGCCACTTCCAGCTAGTTTGCCTCCTTGGTATACCACATAACCCCAAGCTGATTGCCCGGGACCCGACGAGGATCCATCAGAGAAGGCACAGACTGCGTTGGCTGGAAGGGAAGTTAACCATCGTTTGATGCTTCCTGACCTAGCTTCTTTTTCCCGACTGCCTGGTGTCGATGCCGGGAGACCATGGGGAAAGTAGAGCTTTCCAGGGCCTTCCGCTGTCGGAACTTGACGCACGCTTATTTGTAGGCGTGTCATGTACCTTTCTGGCTGTCTGAACAAGCGATCTCGTTGTCCCGATCTAAGACCTAGGCGTTTTATAGTATCTTTCGGGTCCTCCGCCGCCCGAAGGGCTAGAGGGTGCCAGGCATCCATTCTTCGCATTCGAGCTGCAGACCGCAACATCTTTTGTTGGAGAATTATTGATGCCGGGGGAATTCCCGCTTCACGATGAAGAGCGCTATTGGGAGTGGTACGCCACGCTGGGAGTGCTACTCGTATAGCTTTCGTGATAGTTTTGTCCAGCAGAGATGTGTGCCACCCTACTCCAGTGCCGACTTCTTTATCTCGGATGGTGGTTATTCGAGAAAGACCCGGCCACCACGCTTCTGCCCCATAGAGAGCTGTGTTCAGAACGCATGCCTGTACCGCACGAATTAGAGGTCCGGGTGCTGCCCCGCGCTGAACTCCGTTTATATGTCGTAAAAAGTGGACTAGACGATTAGCTTTTCCAGTCCATTCCTGTACATGCTGCTTGAAGTTCAGCTGAGTGTCAAGCCAGACTCCTAACCACCGGATATGAGGCGACGGTTCGATCCGGCGATCTTTCACCAAGATGGAGAGGTTGGCTGTGTTGATTTTCTTCCTAGGACCTCCTCCGGTCACTAGAAGTTCCGACTTTGCCGGGTCAAATTCGATCCTGTGTTCTCTGGCGAGAAGGACGAGGCTGTCGAGGTCTTCTTGGACTGCTGCGATAGCTTCGGCCGCGGTGCTTCCAACTCTAATGATGGCTAGATCATCAGCATAGCCAAACCTGCTCGTTAGTCCATGGTCCTTAAAAAGCACAGCGATATAGAGCATGAAAAGAAGTGGTGACAGTGGCGAGCCCTGAGGTACTCCACATTCCAGCATCTTCTCGTCTGTGGTTCCACCACGGTATTTCACCTGGACTTTTCGTTGGCAGAGAAAGGTCTGAATGAACCGGCACAGAGATAGTGGCCAGCCTTGTTCTCGAAGGCGTTGGAGTAGTCGGTTGTGAAGGACTGCATCAAACGCACCTTGGATGTCTAGTGTGACCATAGCCGCACATTTTCCGCTTCTCATGGCCGCCTCAGCATCATGGATTACACAGGATGCAAGGTCGACCGCAGATCGTCCTGGTACTGAGCCGAATAATTGCGGATGAACAACTTGGTGACTTATCGTCAGCCATGCCATTCTCTTGCCAACTAGACGCTCAAGTCCTTTGCCTAAACTCGACAACAGCGAGATTGGTCGCCAACCCTTGGCAGTTGATAGATTTCGTCCCGGTTTGGGAAGAAGCACAACATCTGCCACCCTAAATGCCGTCGGAAAGTGGCCGATTTTTAGACAGGCCTGGTAGAGATCCTTGACCAGAGGCCCGAGGTGGTACCAACAGGATTTCAGTAAACGTACTGTTATTTTGTCCGCTCCCGGTGCCGTATCATTGACAGAGATGGTAGCGTTTGTCACATCTTCCAGTGATATTTCCGTATCCCATGGAATGCGCACCTCCTGTCCATTCTCCCAGGTTGGGATGTCGTTCTCGCTGCTAAATCTTGCCAAGAGAATGTCTCGTAGCGCACTAGCCCGCTCTCGCGGGTCTGAAAGCCACCGATTTTCCTCAATCTGCAAAGGAGGGGGCTCAGCTGCTGGTCGAGGCTTAGCCCATCTCATGAGCTTGAATACCTGTGCGTCAGTTGTAACTGCCTCCACTTGCCTCTTCCAGTACTCTCGCTTGGCTTTTCGCACAAAGGCTCTAAAGCTTTTACGCGCCTGTCTTACAAGGTCCGGATTTTCTCTCGCTGCCTTGTAATCCTGCCACTTGATGCGACATTCATCGTTCCACCAGGGCCCGGTTTTTCCGCTTTCAATGGCTGGGACTTTCCCCGCAATCTTCAGCGCGTCTGCAAGAGCCTGCAGGAGATTAGCTGTGAATTTTTCGATGTCCATGACACTGTCCAGAGGGGCAGCTTTGGTCCATTGGCTGACACATCGGTTGAATTCCTTTAGGTTCTCATCGCTGACACGAGTGTTCCTTACAATTCCAGATAGGTCTGATACTGTAGGGTTTAAGACTGTACCCTCGATGGTCGAGTGATCTGAGGTACAGTGATACTGCTTGGAGACTGATGCTGTTGCAGCTGTGTTGCTCCACGTTAAGTCCAGCACGTTCCCATCCCTATGCGTTGGCTCTCCGACAATGCTAACTAGATCCATATCGTGAGCTGTTGCCCATTCCATGATCTGGCCTCCATTGCCGTACTGAATTGTCGTTTGCGGCTGCCAATGCTGTGACACAGAATTGAAATCGCCACCAACAACCACGAGTCCTCTGACTACCCACCGAAGTAAGGGCTCCAAGGTTCCACTGGTGCCCGGGGCACGATACACGTTGACGAAAGTCAGGCTGCCCATCTTTACAAAACAGTAGTCAGATGTCGGGCCTGATGACGGCGGAAAAAATTGAGTCGCACCAATGCCTTTGCGTGTGAAAGTACTCACGCGGGGCCGGACGTCTGTTCCTCCAAACGGTATGTGGCTATTGTATCCAGGGTGACTTTTGGTGATAAAACCCCCCTCTTTCTTCCTTGTCCATGGTTCCTGTACCATGACTACATGTGCACCGGCGTCCCATGCCTGCTGCAATGCTATATCTGTATTCTCCCCACCCCTTCCTACATTCACTTGGTGAAAGTGGAGAGTGTTATGTTTATCTTTTGGTGCTTTTGTTGAGGGGTTCCCTAACATTAACACGTCATTGTTGAATCCGGGGTAATGACAGTTTCAACTGCCTTGCCCTTCCTTTCCGAATACGCTAGAGCAGCGTGATAATCACGATGCCCGCGTTCTCTGATGATGTGTAGTTCTGCAGGGGTACGGGGCAGAATTATCCCGTTTTGTCTTCTTGGTCGGGCCATGCAGCTACTCTCATGTGAGTGGTGAGGTCCGGCACAATTTGAGCACTTTGGCACCTTGGCCTGGCAATCTGATGTCTCATGGGTTCCCCCACATCGTCCACATCGTTGGCTCCGGGTACAGGAACGCGTAGTGTGGAATCCCCAGCAACGTTGGCATTGCTCGATTGGTCGTCGGCGCGAGAAGGGAATTGCCGGTCCGCTCTCGTCAAAAAGACGGAACTTTGTGTTTGCTGGTTTTTGTTGGAAATGAATGATCCAGCTCGTTGAGTACTGACCAAGCTTTGTTTCTGTGGGCCGTACCTGGATTGGTGTGGCGCCACATACTGCCTGGCACTCGTTCTTCACCATTTCAATGGTGACTGGCATGCTGCCTTCAAGTGTCCTGATATACAATGGCACATGTGGTACCATCAGAG